ACCTAAGCCCCTCCTCTGAGGTACCTATTAGATCAACCTAGCTATCAAGGGCCTGTCACTCACAGTGAACAGCCTACAGTACGACCTTGCCCAAGATTAAACATTCCTAATTGCCAAACATCTGTTCTCTTGAGAATTTCACTATCATGTGTGAAACTTTCAGACGCTGGACGCCGGCCTGTCTAGAAATGTCTATCAGACCACTAATTCCCCTGCTTCAGTTTGATCAAACGGCCCCACTCAGTCTGTGTTATGTAACTTTTTATGACACTAAAGTCGGGTTAAGGAGAGCTAATCAGGTGTGGTACGAAGTTATCTCCCCCTTTACTTGCCTCTACAGACTGGGCAGGAGATAAAATTTATGACATAGACATGAGAAAGGAATTCCTAGCCAAGGTAATATTACCTAAAGCAAGGTTGCTTTGTCTGGCTAAGAGGGGAAACACAGTTTGAACAATTCTCAAATCCCATGTAGTGGTTTTAGAACTATTTTAGGCTCAGTGTCTATTGCTTTTAATTCTTTGTCCTTCTCTGAACATAAGAAATTATTAAGCACAATATAACTTCTGAGACCACTGAGGTCATTTCGTCACATTCACAACATAATTATACAGTGTCTTAACAGACATGATTGTGTGGAGTGTGTTCACAACATAATTATACAGTGTCTTAATGTACATGATTGTGTGGAGTGTGTTCACAACATAATTATACAGTGTCTTAATGTACATGATTGTGTGGAGTGTGTTCACAACATAATTATACAGTGTCTTAACAGACATGATTGTGTGGAGTCTGTTCACAACATAATTATATAGTGTCTTAACAGACATGATTGTGTGGAGTGTGTTCACAGACATGATTATATTGAGTGTGTTCACTAGATATGATTAAATGCAGTGCACTTACAGACATGATTATATGAAGTATGTAGTTGCAGACATGATTAAATGGAGTGTGTTCACAAGACATGATTACATTAAGTGCAGTCACAGACAAGATTAAATATAGTGTGCAGACATGATTATATGGAGTGTGTTTACAGACATGATTATACAGTGTCTTAACAGACATGATTGAGTGGAGTGTGTTCACAGACATAATTATACAGTGTCTTAACGTACATGATTGTGTGGAGTGTGTTCACAACATAATTATACAGTGTCTTAACAGACATGATTGTGTGGAGTGTGTTCACAAGACATGATTAAATGGAGTGTACTTACAGACATGATTATATAAAGTTTGAAGTTGCAGACATGATTAAATGGAGTGTCTTCACAAGACAAGATTATATGGAGTGCAGTCATAGACATAATTAAATGAAGTGTGCAGTCACAGACATGATTATATGTAGTGTCTTCACAGACATGATTATATCAATTGTCTTTACATACATGATTATATGGAATGTGTAGTCACAGACACAATTTTATGGAGTGTGTAGTCACAGAGACAATTATATGGAGTGTGTACTCACAGGCATGATTGTCCGGAGTGTACTCACATACATGATTGTACATGGTGTACTCACAGACATGATTATATGGAGAGTACTTACAGACATGATTATATGGATTGTACACACAGACATGATTTTACATAGTATACTCACAGACATAATTACATGTAGTGCACTCACGAACATGATTTTACATAGTGTACTCACAGGCATAATTATATCAAGTGGCCGCATTAGCTCAGTCAAAAGGAGACTCGCTTTCAAATCCAGCTGCAACTCGCTGCAGTCCACAACCTGTGTTTAAAACTGGATGGTTCCCGCTGTTCACCCAGCCTCTAGGAAATGGATACCAGAATTAATACTCTGGGGCAAATGGAGGAACATTGCTGTAGCTACGGAGTTGCGTGCGGACGGCAACACAGGCGGGCAGTTTCTTATCAGCTGTCCTTACTGGTGGCAAAGCACATATGGTTTATAAGCGTGTTCAATGACGTGGGTTCACATCTTCCGACTTTACCTTTACATGATTATATATAGTGTACTCACAGACATGATTATATGGAGGGTACTCAAAAACATGATTATATGGAGTGTACTCAGAAACATGATTGTACATAGTGGACTTACAGACACGTTTATAAGGAGTGTACTCACAAATACAATTGTGCATAGTGTACTCACAGACATAATTATATTTACTGTGTACTCACAGACAAAATTACATGTAGTGTACTCACAGACATGATTAGTTGTAGTGTGCTTACAGACATGATTATCTGTAGTGTGCTCACAGACATGTTATTCCTAACATAACATGAATGGATCTAATTATTATTTCACTATTCAGATTGAATAAATCAGGTGACAGGACATGCCTTGTTCAATGCTTTGAAAAGTTCCAACTAGGTCAACAGTTCTTATGAGGACTTCTTGTTGCCAATATGTAATTTTTTAAATTCTCAGATCATTGTAATCAGCATTTAAGATTTCTGAAATTCTAATAACTTCTTCATGTTTCACTTTATCAAAAACTTGAGTGTAACCAATAAAGCAAAAATACAGATCTCTGTTCATTCCATTCATTGTTTCTGAAAGAGTTCTCGAGATAAAGATTGTGCTGTTTGTGCCTTTACCCTTCAACGATTCCATTCATTGTTTGAAGCTTGTATAATAAAATGTCTGGAAACAACTCTTCTGTACTGTTTTTATTGTGATACTTCAACAATGTCACAAATAATATCAATGATATTCTGAATGGCCGCCGTCTTAGCTCTGTGGTTATATACTCTTAAAGTCACGTTGTGTTCTTCATTTCTAATTACTTTGTTGACTGGTTCTAGTGTCTGTAACTACCACCTGGCCTCTAGTGCTGTCTGGTACTAACGGCTTAATTGTCGACTCTAACATTTCAATAGTGTTCATATCTAATGTGTCTCTGTTAGCCATGGATTCATGTATCTTGTTTTTTTGTCTCTGTAACTCATTGTTTCGTTTCTAGTGACTGTCTTTGAGACTCCATGTGACTGGCTTCTCTTCTTTTAGTGTTGAACTGGCATCTCCACACCTGGGAGGGTCCTTGAGACTAGTCCCTTGTTCTCTAAGTCTCAACGGCTGAAGGTTCTTTTTGAGGGTGCATGTTACTAGTCCCTCCTCTTCTAAGTCTAGTAGACTAAAGGTTTTCTAAGTGGTTTCTCACCCATTATTTATACTGAGGTGCTGGAATGCATGGTATGTGTTGTTGTTGTACTCACTAACTGCTTCTATATTTGTGTATGCTAAACTTGTTTACTATGTGCGTTCTCACGTGGGATGTTTTAATTACATCTCAATTGCATCCGATTGTCTACACCAAAATATACTAATTGGATTGACAGGTGTCCTATGGCCTTCTAGAAAGTCAGTATGATAAGGCTATTGTTCTTTGATATGGCACGTCAACGATTACATCAGATACTATTTATATAACTAGGTTATTCATGTGTGAATACCTCTCTGCACTTTATGGTTCTAGAAAGGAAGGTCCAGATTGCTAAAACCTGTTGACTTCTGTCACTTTAACTACCTCCTGTCAAACAAGTGATGATGTCTCCCTGTTACATAGTGTATCCTGTTTTGATATTAAGGTCGCCCATCAACATTTGTACATAGCCCTTCCTTTCATTACTTATAAAATATATTAAAGTTAAATTATTCATCCTCATCACCTCTTGTCTGGAATTGTTTGATAGGTTACAGCTGAGCAGTGTCCATCATCAATCATTCTTTAACCTCTTGCCCTGAACTATTTGAAAGATTACAGGTGAGCAGTGTCTATCATCAATAATTCTTAACCTGTTGCCTTGATCTATTTCAGTGGCTCTCAACCTTCCTAATGCCACAACCCTTTTATGCAGTTCCCTCATGTTGTGGTGACGCCCTAACAATGATTTTCCTTTATAACTTCAATGAATATGTGTGTTCTGATGGTCTTAGGTGACCCCTGTGCAAGGGTAATTTGACCCCAAAAAAGGGTCATGACCAGCAGGTTGAGAATGCTGATGTATTTGAAAGATAACAGCTGAGCAATGTTCATAATCCATCACTCTTTAACCTGTTGCTTTGATTTGTTTGAAACATTACAGATAAGCAGTGTCCATCATTGATAATTCTTCAACCTCTTACCTTGATCTGTTTGAAAGATTACAGTTGAGCAGTGTCCATCATTAACCCTACCAGACCTAAGGCCCTGAACCTAACTGCCCCCTATACCCGAGCTCCTGGACATCAACACACAAAAAGCCAACTTGATATACAAAACTATTAGTTACATGCAAACAAGTTGTTAGAATAAGTTGAAACTTGGAGACATTGTAGAAAACAGGTTTACCTTTCATCTAGTGTCAATATTCCACCTTTGTATGCAATTCCACCCAGAAAGATCGGCCTTGTTTAAAAAAGTGAGCACCAGATGTTGCTGTTTGAGGGACACGCCCCCTTCTCTTATTATCGATCTAGTTTCAAATCAATAATTTTCAAGATTCTCCTCATCATTCCACCTCTCACTGACTGTATCACTTCAACTAGGAACGTATTCTTCACGAAATTCGAACTGCTCAGAGTCTGAATCAACCAAAGTATTGATCACCTGTTGGACTGTGAAAAGCCTAGACCTCTTTCACTTTCCTGTTGAAGTGCCTGGTTCATCAGCTGCTCGTTTTATTGTGAATTTTCAGAATTTTTTAACGTCAAACCACACAAAGAAAATCCAGACACACGTGGGCAGCAATTCGCAATGACTAACTACAAAGTCTGACCACGATTGGCTAGTTATTTTAAGTTTGTTACGCATTGTTTTCACGTAGCACGCCAAGTACCAACATTGAGGGGCACCTGTTTAGTGGCAGATAAGGAAATTCCCATAATAGCGGGACTTCGGTCTGGAAGAGTTAATCAATATTTAACTTGTTGCCTTGACCTGTTGAAAGATTATAGTAAAACAATGTCCATCATTGTCGACTTTAGTGCAGTATCAATGTTTAACCATTTATCTATTTGAAAGGTAGCATCTGAGCAGTGTCCAGCACTGTCGACTGTAGTGCAGAATCATTTTGAAGCTGTACAGATCTTTCTAGGGGAGAAGCACTGTAAGTCAGGCCACCGACAGAGCCTTGTGTCACTGAAGAGGTCAGTGTCTTTTATTTTGTTGGTCTCATCTAGAATTTCATATTCTTGATGGCAGTAAATAGATAAAGAATGAGAGTAAACAGTTAAAATCAGAACGTTAAACACACAGATGACATCATGATGGCAGTAAACAGATATAGTTCATGCTGATGGTAAACAAACAATGACATTGAAACAGAAATGACTTTAAGACAGAAAACATACAGCTGACCTGAAAACAATAAACACATGATGATATGAAGACAGTAAACATGCAGATGATATGAAGACAGTAAACATGCAGAGGACAGGAAGACAGTAAACATACAGATGATAGGAAGACAGTAAACATACAGATCACATGGAGACAGTAAACATACAGATGATATCACAGCTATAAACACAGAGGACATGATGATAGTAAACATACAGATTAAATTACAATGAAATAAACACATTTAGTCCATGATGAGAGTAGGCACACAGAAAAAAATTATTCAATTAATGGATGACATCAGGGCAACTGTTTTAACACCATCATATTTATAACTATAACATTATCAGTATCATTATAACAGTCATCATCATAAACCATTTCTGCCGTTAAGCGTTGTCGGGAGGAATAATGTGTGATCCAGTGCATGCTGGCTGCCACTGGCTATTGTCATGCCATGAAGGCGTAGAGTGTCTTTAATGTTGTCGATCCATGCTTTCCGTGGCCATCCTCTTGCTCTTGTAGCTGATCTTCTGAGATGTAGTGCTTGTGACAGTATTTGATCTTGCTGCATTCTAACAAGATGGCCAAACCACTTGATGAATCTAGTACAAGGTGTCGTTCCCACATTTGTCTGATAGTATCATTATTCACTCGATCTCGGATGATAAGGATGGCTGCTTTTCTTAAGCATCTCATCTCGCAGGTGGTAATTTTGTGTATATGGGCTTTAGATAGTGTCCATGTTTGGCACTGGTAGCTTAATTTTGGAATGAATATGCTTTTAATAATCTGTCTGTTTACACTCATACTAATGCTTGGATGTCTTAATAATGGTGACAATTGGTATATAAGTGCACTTGCTTTCTAACATCTGGTTCCATTTCTCTGTCAATTATCCCATCTTCCATGATCATACTTCCTAGATATCTCAACGCCCTAACCTGATTCAGACTAGAACCATTCAGCTGTGTGTGTGTAGTGGGCCAGGGGTTCTACTAACTTGCATTGTTTCAGTTTTGTTTGCATTGATCTTCATGTAGTATTTACTTATAAATCATATTGGTCAATTATATGATGAGTATCATCACGACACTTATGGTCATTAACCCTTTTAGCACGGGAAGTTTTTTTTCCAGATGTCTAGCCAAAAACACGGAGCATTTTTTCAGTAAATTTGGTTATAATTTTATTTTATTTTTTTGACACATTACTGTTATTCTGACCCCCATGAAATGATATATTTATTTGAAGGATATAGATTGAAGTTCATGATTTTCACAATTTCGTTAAAATTAATTGATGTATATGCAAATTATCTCATTTGCATATCTAAAAATAGAAAATTAGAATGTGAAATTTCAACTTCAATGCATGAAACATATAACTAAAAACAAAAATTTATTTTTTTTGAAATTTTTTTTATATTTGGCCTTTTTACAAATGTTGTAAGCAATTAAATAGTCAAAAACAGGTATATATATATATATATATATGAAACAGCAATCAAATCTTTAGGTGACATGTGTTTTTGACCATCAGTCAGCTCAAGAAATGGATGTGCCGGAGTGTCAACGTCTTCGGGTGGGTATACCCTGAGCCATGGTTGGGCTGTGGTCTGAACACAACAGCGTCCCCATCTGATTCCCCACTATTACTACTAACACTAGATCCTGCATCAGTATCAACAGAAATAGTGTCATCACTTGATTCAAATGTTTTATCAACATCAAGTTTAGGGGCAGAAACATACGAGTCAGACATACTTTTAGCGGTTCAGGTCACTATCTAAAAAATTCAACAACAATTTTCACTTCGATACCAAACACTCGAAAGTTGCCATGTGTAAAGCTAATACAGCAGTGAATATAAAATAAACACTTTCAGTGTTTCAAAATAGGAGATTTCTTAGAGTGTCGAGGCGAAACACGATCGGGCCGATGATCGGTCGTTCCGTGTTTTTTGCCAGACATCCGCCGGCCAATAATCAGCCCGTCCGTGCTAAGAGGGTTAATATGAGTATCGCGAGGGCAGTTATGATCATTAATATAATAATTATCATCATGACAGTCATTATGGCCATTAATATAATTAGTGTCATGACAGTCATCATGGCCATTAATATAATGAGTATCATCATGACACTTATCATAGTCATAAGTATAATCAGTGTCATCGTGACATTTATCTTGGTCCTTACTATCATAAGCATCATCATGAAAGTTATCATGGTCATTGATACGAGGGGAAGTCATTAAGTGTGTCACAAATGGTTGTTTAAAAAAAAAAAAAAATCAAAATGAAAACAACTTCAAAACTGTCCCTTTATTTTTCAACATAATTTCTGTCATCATTGATGCACTTGTTTTATCAGTCCTGCTAAACCTGCTACATAGAACAGCATGCTCTGTTTTCTAAACTACATTTTCATTTCACATTCAACTTTTTGAGAGCATTGAGAATGTCTGCCTGATTCATTGCTTATCCTGTACCTACCATTGCCATTGCCAGCAAGCCAATCTGTTTATTCATTCCCTCTTACTGCAGAGTGTCCTGGCACAAAAATAAAACTAATTCCTATCAGACAAGATTTCCTCAGCGACTCCAGCTGATTTTCTTCAAATCCATTCCATCTCTGTCTTTATAAGTATGCTTATAGAATCACTTAGAAAGCAAGCATAGGAAAAATTATGTGTCCCTATCCACATCATTGCTTTTATTACCCCTATGACCCCCATAGTCAGACTACTTGTAGTTGAGGCAAAAGGCCTGCTATCTTCTTGTACAGTTTTCCCTTGAACTAGAATCATAAAAGCCCATGTACTTTCTATATGTCGAACGATGGATCGGTCAGTGTAGATAACTGCACATCCATCAGCAGAATTTTAAAGAACCGAGACTTGAACTTCTGCCTGGACCACCATTAGGCATTCTTATCTGCAATCTCTATAAAATATTCGCATGTGCGCGCAGTGCACACACACACACACACACACACAATCAAATATTTTTTTGACATTTCCCTTGCCTGTCAGATTTGGTTTCTGTATGCTGATGTGTCTCTTTCTTCTCTGTTATATAATGTTAGTTGTAGACTCTCTCTCTCTCTCTCTCTCTCTCTCTCTCTCTCTCTCTCTCTCTCTCTCTCTCTCTCTCTCTCTCTCTCTCTCTCTCTCTCTCTCTGTCACACACATTATATACACATATATCTATAAATATGTGTGCATGCGTGCATACATGTATGTTTATGCGTGTGTGGGGATGGGGTGAAAGATTACACCAGTAAATTGATTCTGTGTTACTTGATGTGCCTACAGACGGGAAGAGTTCATTCGGCAGCTCAGTGTGGACAACAGCAAGAAGAAGTTAAATAAACTTGTCAGACAGGAGAGTATCCAAGGCCTTGAAGCAGAACAGTGTTATCTGACACCAAGAGTCGAAGGGAGAATCTACATTCTTACAGAGGAGGTATCAGAACTTCTCATGTTTTGATTTGAAATCTAACCGCTTCTTTATGAAGATAATGAAATGCAGGAAAAGATAAATGTCAGTCAGTAGAACCAACTTTGCTGTTGTAGGGTGCAGACGATGATGTAATGGTAATGGCTAGATGAAGACTAACACCAGATAGCTGGCAAGTGTGTGAGTGCAGCCGAAGTGAAGAAGCATACAACTTCAGAATCAAAGGCAACCAAAGTGACTTGAATATCAATATAACAATGCAACAACCAAGTTTAGGGGTGGAAACTCTTAAGGTATGATCCCCACAGTGAACGGTGCGAAGGGCCTCGAGCCCAACCTGAGTCCTGATGCCACTGGGTAACTGAGCAACCCACCAACAATGTAAACAACAACTTCAAGAGAACTTTAGCATTAATCTACTCAAACAAGCCATGGCTTCCTATTACGACACTGATGTATTGACGAATTAACTGAGTTGAATGATAATATTGAAACACATGATAGGTGCAAAATGACACACCCTAACAGTAAATGTAACTCAAAAGCATCCGCGCACTCACATAGATGAATTTTTACCTCCGTATCCACGAATAACATTAGTCATCAAGTACTATAGGTCAACAGCTCAAACTTAAAGCATCGGCGGTTTCTCCAACAAGTCAGTATGCAGCCCAGCACTGATAAACACGACCACATCATTACTTCATAATTATCCAGCAGTCCTACTGAGCTAAAGCATCCAAATTAAATCATCCTGCTTACTGCAGAAATGGCAGTTATGCCCCAGCTACCAGGCAGAATTTCCTGGGATCATTGGGTAAATCTTCCATTAGGATAAGCCACACTAGGACATTGTAGTGAACCCAGAGAGTCATTGCAGAAATAAACGTCTGCCTCCTTGGACTTTTGACTGCCAATCCTCGTACTCAAAACATGCCTCTTTAAGGTTAAGCATTGCAGCTGATGTTTGTCACAGACCTCTGTTATGACCTTGCTGGTTCGTGGCTCGTAAATGGGCCTATGACAGACAGACCAACCTTTAACACACACTAAACCCGAACGCACACAGAGCACACACGACAATCTTTATTGGAAGTACAGGTAATACATAGACAGTTGACTTCCCGCTGTGTGGCCACCTATTGCCTGGACCCTCTGGCTGAACGGGCTTTACAATCACCTCGTCCCCCAGTACGTGCTACAGGCAACCTCCTGGTGTACAAACCACAGCCCGTCGAGATACGTTCTTTTCTATCGCCACACTGACCCAATCAAACTGTCACAGTCTCTGTCTTAGTGCAGGGTCAGAGTGTCAAGGTTAGCCACTCTCTCACAGCACATATACATAAATACTCTACACAAGAACTATCCTATCCTAACACAAAACTGTACATAAACTATCCAGTCACTAACAGAAATATATCCTAACTTTAATACTATAACTGTCTTCCTAAACGTCCTCTCTTCCTGACCGACGCACACCGAATGTCCTGTCCTCTCTACCTCGTGTCCCTTGACCCCGTTCACCAGCTCAGTCCCAAAAGCAGTCATCGTGTTGCGGGTTTGTCCACAACACAGTTCAGTCTTTCTTGCTTTATCCTGAGCGCTGGTTTCGCCGTGCGATCACAGAACGGACTTGACCAGTCACGGCCCTGACCTTTGTGTCAACCCTGGGGTGTCACCTCAACACGCCCACCTTACGGTGTGGTACACTGACTGTACTTAATAGGGTTGTGACAATGTTCATGATGAGATCCTGGGGTAAAATTCTCCTCTGGGATCCACCAGGCCAGGCCACACGTCTGCCTTCTGGAACTTCTTGGCCACAACTTTTCAAGCTCTATCTCCTAACAACAGTACGTAACCCTTATGACGTCCTATTATAGTGTATTTTGGTACGCAATCTGCATGCTACAGCTGTATAGGGGATAAGCATTGAAAATTAAAATTGTAGTAATCCAGATCAATGTGAATATGAGCATAGAAAAGTAACAGAATCTGAATAACACTGTTACCTGAAAGGAAGCACTTCATTTCTTCTTCTTCTAATTTGTTCACCGACTGTAAGCAGGAAGTCCTGGTTGTTCATCCATTTTGTCTTTGACTTTGTGCCAGGGCCTGAGTTTTGCGTGTACATCCGTTTTACTGGCTTGTTTGTGTGCAATTGGTTTGTTACACTTACCCCCTAATGTGATATCTATTATACTTTGTTCTCTGTAAGATGTCATGATTGTCCACTTTCTTTTCTGTAAGATGTCATGATTGTCCACTTTGCTCTCTGTAAGATGTCATGATTGTCCACTTTCTTTTCTGTAAGATGTGTTATTTTTTACACACAGATTGTACAGTACTTAAGTCATTTATTACACAAAGATTGTATATTACTGTAGTCATTTATTACACCCAGATTGTACATTATTTGTGTAATTTTTTACACACAGATTGTACAGTACTTAAGTCATTTATTACACACAGATTGTATTTTACTGTAGTCATTTATTACACACAGATTGTACATTATTTGTGATATTTTTTACACACAGATTGTACAGTACTTAAGTCATCTATTACACACAGATTGTACAGTACTTTAGTCATTTATTACACAAAGATAGTACATTATTTGTGTTATTTTTTACACACAGATTGTACAGTACTTAAGTCATTTATTACACACAGAATGTATATTACTGTAGTCATTTATTACACACAGATTGTACAGTACTTTAGTCATTTATTACACAAAGATTGTACATTATTGTGTTATTTTTTACACACAGATTATACAGTACTTAAGTCATTTATTACACACAGATTGTACAGTACTTTAGTCATTTATTACACACAGATTGTATATTACTGTAGTCATTTATTACACACAGATTGTATATTACTGTAGTCATTTATTACACACAGATTGTATATTACTGTAGTCATTTATTACACACAGATTTACAGTACTGTAGTCATTTATTACACACAGATTGT